TCCAAGCAGTTTCTGTCTGGATTTAAAGAAGAAGAGGAAAGGAAAATAATTAGGGCAGTTTTCTGGGTGGGGTGATTTTTCATTTGTTTAGCTGTCAGGGATTTTGGGTGTTTTTTTTTTTTTGTGTGTGTGTGTTTTGTTTTTTAACAGAAATGAGCTTTCTAAATAAGACAAAGGACTTTTTATCCCCTGGTTATTTGTTTTATAAGGAGAGAGAGAGAAAAAAAAAAAGCAAACATCACTCAATATGTTAGATTAGGAATTTATACCTCAGAGACTCAGCACACAGTGGAAGTTGCTTTGCCAGTAGGTTTTACTTGGCAAGATGAAATTTCTCTTCAGAGCAGAGGTCAAATGTCTCAGGATTGTGGAAGATGTGCTGGAGTAGTAGGAACACAGAATGTTATTAGGAAGAAATGTCTTGCTTCTCTGGATAGTACCAGTGTGTCAGTCTTCCAGAAGCTATTTACTTGTACATATACTTTCATGCTTTGCAACTTCCACCTTTTAGTTTTTTTTCCTATACTTGCATCCTTTTGGTGGATAATGGATCTTCAGGAGTCTTGATTTAGCCTGTTGTTACAGATATATACAGACAAAAAGTGAAATTCTAGCCAGTAGTCAAAATGATAGTTATGAGGAAACATGAAAAGATGTCAAACAATAACAGCAACAGCCAGACATTAACTGTTTCAGGAACAGAAGTCCCTTGGGTTGCTCATAATATATTTAAGAGTAAGATTTGAAAGGGTAAGGACTTTCGTGATTCTGTGTCTTCCCTCAGATTTCCTTGAGGAATCTGTTGGGGAAATCTTTTATGGCTTTAAAAAATGAAGCGTCATGAAAGACTGGTTTACTGACATACTAGAATAAACTGGTGATTCATGTTAGTGGGAAGTGGAGCAGTAATCCTTTTAAGTACTGAAGGAATTTGGTGAAATTGCTAATGTACAAAAATATTCTAATTAAAAGCAGTTAGAAAATGAGGTTGCAGTAAATGGTATTTGAATCTCAAAAAAATCGGGGGAGAATGATCTCAGTGCTTTCTTACATGCTATCTTGTTAACCTCTAGGGCTCAGTAGATAGCAATATGATAGCTAATCAGAAGAGCTTAGTGTGGTTCAAAAATAATCGGGCTTTTGGATGTAATATTCATTTATACAAAAAACAACAACCCATAAACCTGGTTGCTAGATCAACAGCCTTATTTTATTATAACCAAGCGAGTCAAATTAAACATAATTGTTAATGAACTTAACTCAGCAGGGGCAAAGCAGTACAGCCTCTGTGAAGAAAAACTGAGCTATGTACATCTGTGCAGATTAAAGTTAATGAATAAAGAAATGACTCTGTTTCATAAATTTCTTAAAAGCTTTGAAAGTAAGGCTCTGTGGTTTTCAGTACACCACAACTAATTGTAGGTATGCTTTAAGATTCCATCCTTGCACAGCTGTTAAATACTTATTCATAAACTTGAATAGTTGAGTAGCAGTTGAATGGTGTGAGTTGTGTAAAATCTGTGATTGGTTCAGAATTATCCAGGGAGGTGGATGTAGGAGAAAACTTGTGGTGTTTGTTCCCTTGGGATCCCGAGGAGGGTGGGCAGTCTGTGACACACAGCTCAAGCTGAGGCTTGTGCAGGCATGTGTGTGTGTCATGGAAAGGGTTTTATTCTGTAGCAGCTTCTAATGTAGCTGCAGCAGTGTGTTGAGACAAGTCCTCAAGCTTGGAACAGCGGGTAATGTCTCGCTCTCACGCTTCCAATGTGTGAAGAGTCCCCAGACAAACAAAAAGTAGTGTTAGGTTGAAGCACACTGCTCTTAAGTTCTAGTCATCCATTTGAAAATAGAAGGGAAAGATTTCTACTGGTACTGGAAAAATCAGAATCAAGTAGAAACGAGTTTGTGAAGATATGTATATTCCATAATCAATAACTTGCAGGAAGCGAGGTGGGCGGTATTTATTTTGACCACAATACAAGAACAGGGATGTTCAATACTGTGAACATTCATTAAAAGCTGCTTCCTTGTTCCTTACATAATTGCTAACCTGTGGAGCTCAGTGCCATATGACAGCTAATCTGAAGAGCTAATCTGAAGAATTTAATAACATTCAAAACTAATTAGACTTTTGGATGGATACCATCCTCTGTTATCTTCTACAGGAAAAAGATAAACTCTCCAGCTTCAAAGACAAGTTGATAATGACCAACATTCAAAAAACTTGACTGTCAGCCATTGCTCATTAAAAAAACTTGAGTATCAGTTGTTGCCACAGTTCAGTTAGGAGAGAGAACAGAACAAAGGCAGTCTGCTAGTAGATGCTGCTTGCTGAAAAAACAGTTCTGCATATGGTCTGTTGAATGGCCCACCTTGGTTTTGTTTTGAAAGTATAAAACCTCCAGGACCATGAGTTGAAATGACATGGCTTATGTATTGCTTGTCTCAGGTTGGTTGTTTGTCCATGCACACAAATATTATAGTTATTTATAGATTTATATCATGGCAATACTCATCTGGATTTATTCTCATTTTTTTAATTGGAGATGCATATTTACTGTGTGTGACTGATGTTGGCATTACATGCCTCCTGCAGAAGGGAGAGTAAGATTGTTTGCTGCTTTGCATAGCAGCACCAAGGCATCAGTTATGGAACCCCTCTTGACACTGCTTATACTTGAACCAGGGAGAGAACAATGCAGTTGTAAAACATCCTCATATCAACTGGTAATTTTACATTAGTTTGCAGAATATAACTGATTGTTTTCAATTTTGCTTTATAAAAACAATTTGCATGATCTGCTTTATTATATGAATTTGGTTTGGATTGTAAGATTTAAATTAGCAAGCGTCTTAAAGTTGTCTTCATTTTTTTGCAGGTTATCATAGAAAAATCAAAAGTGAAAGGAATTCCTATCATTATCGATGCTGTAAGTATTTTATTGATTCAGTCAGTGATTTGATATATAAGAATCCATTAAGTAAATGTTCTTCTTACTGGTCATTGCAGGATGGACTGTGGCTTATTTCCCAGCAGCCTTCCCTAATTCAAGGCTACCAGCGAGCTATTCTTACTCCAAACTATATGGAATTTAGTAGACTGTATGAAGCCATGGTGAGCTGTTTTCCTTTTTTATATTTAAGTACATGCAAGTTCAGTCTTTTAGTCTTTAAAAATAAACAACTTATTACTGGCTTGAACATTATGTGCTGTATCTTATATGCAGAATAAACATTCTCCAGAGTTTCTTAAACAAAGATCTTTTACAGAAGACTTTTTCTTATAGACTTTTTGGCACTGCAGTGGGTATAGGAAAAAAAATACCTGGAAAGACTGATAGTGCTGCTTTTTGTTTCTTCCCCCATACATATGATGAAGTAGCAGGTGTTAGAATATGTTGTTCTAGTAGTAAAATATGTACTGTGTATGGAATTCTTGTGTTGTAGCTTAGAGACCCCGTAGACAGTAGTGATCATCATGGATGTGTATTAAGACTCAGCCAAGCCATGGGGAATTTGACAATTGTTCAAAAGGGAGAAAGAGATCTCATTTCAGATGGAGAGAAAGGTAAGTGAAGCCTTTTGCTTTCAGCAATATGATTGTTTTGTTTTGCTTGCTTTCAGTCCAGTGGTTGGACTGTACTCCCTGAAGTTTGAATGGGAGGGGTGGCTTTGCAGACCACATTTGGATGATTTGTGTGAATTGGTATTTTAAGAGTGCAACTTATTTGCTGAAAAAAAAAAAAAACGTTGCTGATTTTATTTCTTATTTAAATGGCTATAACTTATGTTTTATATTACACAGGTATTGAGGTATTGATTTTTCAATCTTTGAACTGTTTTAAAATCCTTAGCTGAAATGGTCTATGTAACTCCAGATGTCATTGCTAAATTGGTGCAGAATAATATTGTTGTTTCACCATATATTGGTATGCATGAAAAATAAAGATGTCTTGAGGTTCATGGGGCTGTAGATCAGCATGTATATATATGACTTGTACCTTAGGCCTGACAATTAAAAAAAAAAATAAACTCTAGATTGCCATTACAACTTTTTAAACCAGTCACTCATATGGTTAAAATATACTTAATAGATGAGCTGCCTGTGTGATGCTTTTTATACTGATCATTTACTGTGATCAGTATAAAATGAATTCATGAGTGCCTTCATTGTGTTTTGACTACGTGGTCTTATTTCACATACATAACGAGCAGCAGCTCTGCTTCTAATTACTTGAAATGCTAATTTCTGATAAATGTTTATGCCACTTCTGAACTGTTTCATATATAGTCAATTTTTCATTATTGGGAGACATGGGAGTCTTTTGTAACAGAAAACCAGTAATATGACAACTGGTTTGTTCAGAGCCACCTTCTACATACCCCCTTTAGTACAGATAATATAACAGACTGTGAAGCAAGCTGGGATAGATAGATCTATCTACACTGATAGTTACGTCTATGTGGTGAAGGACTTGGGCTGAGCATACAGTACCCAAGCTGCCCTGCATGAAATCTTCTGTCACATTTGCACCCATAGCAGAGTTGGTTTGTAACCTTGGACAGTCAAGTCAGGCTTAAGGGAGTATGAACTCTGTCAGAAGATAAAGTGACTTGGCTCTAGTTTATGCCAGCTAGAGAGCTTTAGAGTACTATGGTGTATCTTCTTTTTCTGTTTTTATGTCAACAATGTTCTTTTTATGCAAGATTGTTGCTTTTTTAACGAATGTTGGGAAAACTGGGTGAGTGCTTTAGATTGGGCACATTACCTGCTGGTATCTCAGATCTCCTTCTGAGCTGTTACTCTTCAGATGCGTGTACTCCACCATTGATGGAGAGAAGGGACACTGTCTTCATTGTCTCTTGTCATGCAGGGTTCAAAAAAAAAAAAAATTGGGGAACAACTGAAACTCTTTCCAGTTTCAATTTTGGGTGTTCAGGTGTGGCACAAGTTCTTGTGTGCTTTTGGGGCTTTCCGTTGTTTTTAATTTTTTTCTCACCTTGTTCTTTGTTGTGTTCTGATCTGTTTTTTCTCTTAGTTAAGTGGCTTTTTTTATTTGAAATAGAAACAGTTCTGTGCCTTTATAGCAGTGGTTTGATGTCCAGCTATAGGCTGCTGCTTTCTTGTTACTTCGCTTCTATCACCAATGCCTTCTCTCTCCTGGATTACAGACACTACAGGCAGCATTGCTGAGCTGTAAAGAAGCAGTTGGCGGGTTTAATACAGGTTATAATGTCTGTTACACTGTTCTTAGGGCTGTTGTTTACAAGAAGGTTCCTGAGAATTTTGCAGAAACTATAGACTTCATCTTCCTTCTAACAAGTGTGTTCTTTGGGTCTGGGAGTTACTGTCGGTCATTCTTTTAAAAGCTGCTTAAATGCAAAATCACACTGAGAAAGGAGATTCTACTGTCTGCTCTGTGCCACAACACAGAACATGTTGTTGTGTCACTGACGCTGAATTCTCTCCCATTATTTTTGCTCTGAACATTTTCATCTGTCTGTTCTTCTGATCTTATGTAAGTTTTTTTCAGCTAAGACAACATACATCATGATTCCAGCGTGAGGGAAATCCAGATCCTTGGATCAGGCTAATGTCCTCTGACCACAGTCAAATAACTACGAAAAAATCTGTGTACTCCTCTTGCCTTTATTTTTATTGTCATCATCTGTTCATAGTGCTTAACCTGTACCTGTTTTCAGACATTTCCTGCCTGAGCTCATGTACTTAGCACGTTGATACTGGAGTTTCCATATATGAATTTTAAACTTTCTCTTTTGGGAATATACTGCATGCCTACTTTCTGGAAAAAAAAAGGGGGGTGGGGGTAGGGAGGAAGGGTGGGAATTAAAAAAAGTCTTAATGTACTCCAGGAAAATCAGAAGCTGCAAACTTAACTGTGTAGCTTTAGTGTTCTGTTCTTGGCTGTGGTGAAAGGAAGGCTTTTTGAGGGTGCAGAGAAGACTGGCTGGATGAATACTTTATAGCTTAGAGTGACTGTAGTGCTATTTTTATTCATGAATCTTTAGTGAATTCAGTAAACAATTTATTTCTGTTAGTTGAAGACAAAAAAAGGTTATCAGGTGATTTGTTAGCTGGAAGTACAGGTGTTGGTGAAGGATCACTGTTGGCAGGTAACTGTAGTCTTAAGCAGACAAGCACAATAAATGATTGGAAGCTGAAGCTTAATAAATTCACATCAAAAGTAAGGCAGAGAAATTATCTATGACAATAACATACCTAGAACTCTGATAGATGCCAAGCTGTGAAGTAGCTGAACACCTCTGAGGTTTTGTTTTACAGATCAGAATAGATGGTGCAGGTGGTTCCTTACAACCTTAAAATCAGCAACGAATAACATACCTGCCCTCTGTGAAATCAGTAGCAGTCCTCCACTGTAAAGGAGATTTTTCCTAAAATTTGTCTCCATTTCAGTTGAGCTGCCAGCTGCCCTGTAAACGTAATCACCAAGATTTAAGTTAAGTTTTATATACTGTTTTTCTCTTTCCTTTTGCAATTTCACATTATAGCTTGGCCTACAGTTGTTGATTCCCTGCTCTACAAAGATGAGCTTCACCATGCTCTTGGTAGGTGATATCAGTGCCATCACTGACCAGGGTAGGAATGAGTACTCAGCCTGTGGGTAAAAGGTAAGTCAGCTTTTATTCATTATGGCACAGCTCTCTAAGGCTTTCTTTTATTATTCTTTGGAGAACTGGTCAATAATAAAGTGTGGTTATACCAGTCTTAGTTCCTAGCATGTTTAAAATTTGGTTAGGTCCTTGAAGATTCTGGATTTTTGGTTTTAAATGATAAAATGAATTTTTCTGTATTTTCCTTTCTGTCTCCTCCCTTCCAAAAGGCAGACTTTATGGGTAACCAGACCACTGCTGCCTGGGACTACTTTTACCTGGAGCCAGTAGCCAGACATAGTTTCTCTCCAGTTGCCCAGCTGCAGCTATGATCAAGAGAAGCAAGGCATCGTGTGAGAGGACTTATTAAGTACTGAATAAGGGGCGAAAAAAACAATTCTTGCCATAAGAATACCCATAAGTACCCTAAGCAGTACTTCTGATTTCTGCCATTCATTCCCCATACAGCTGGAAAGGAAGCTGTTCAGTGCTTGTCAGTCCCTGGCTCACTTGGGTAAAAGCTGTTATGGTATCTGGCTGCCCAGCAGATTTTGCCTAGTTTTTTAGCTGAGAGGCAGCACCTTCATCTCCACTCCTGCTTCTGCAGAGTGTGCGAAACAGGGAGGTCTTGGTTCATGCCCGTTGTGCTGCTGTGCTTTCCATTGCTAGCAGAGCCCGGACTGTGGTCTCCCTGTCACTGCTCACCTATCATCACATCACATCTCTGGCTGCTGCACCTATCTAAGAATGTAAGGTAAAATTTGGATCATTTTCACTTAGACTGCCTGTTGTGTTGCACTCAAGGACCTATCTAAGTTTTGAAAGTGTGATTAGGGAATATTAAAAGTATAAGCACCCTTTATTTAAAAGCCAACTTACATTTTCCACATCAGTTGAGTGTTTTCCTCAGCCAGAGTCCTTAATCTTGGTTTCCCTGTCTGTATGTTTCTGGGAGTCCACAATCTCCAGCTACATGCTTTTGTGAGTTAACTTGCAAAAGGAAAAAGATAAATTTCTTACTAGTCTGAGTATATGCCAGATCACATATATATGTATTGGTAAAAGTTTCTACTCAAGATCTGACAATGGTCTAAACCCAAATCTTGCACTTGGTGGAGCAAAATGGTCTTTGATAGCTTCATTATTTTACATAGAAAATGGAAATCTTAAGCCTTTCAATTAAACAAGAGTATTTGTTGTTGCGTGGGGTAGCTATGTAGGTGATACAATCCAGTTGGATGATATCAGAAGTCATAATGGTCATATCTTACAAACACAGATTCCCGAGGACATTAGGATAAGTGTAATACTCCTGCTCTGTGAGAGTAAAATAAGTGCAAAGAACTTGTTCAGAATGCCCAAGATTCAAGAATTAAAGTTTAATCTCCAGGCTGTCTTCTGGTATTCAGTCTCAGCAAATGTGGCATTTCACATAGGTTCTTTAGTCTTCTTTATCAGCATCAGTATTACGTGTTTAGCCTTTGTCGTGGTTTAAACCCAGTCAGGTAATTCGTTCGCTCACTTCCCCCCCCTTTCTTGCCCTCCCCCTGCTCTCGGAGGGACGGAGAGGAGAATCAAAAGAATGCAACTCCCACGGGTTGAGATAAGAACAGTTTAGTAACTAAGGTATAACACAGATCACTACTGCTACCACCAGTGATAATAATGATAAAGGAAATAACAAGGGAAGAGAATACAACACCTCACCACCCGCTGACCGATAACTCGCCCCCCAAGCCCAACCAAGCTCTGACCGATACCTCCTCCAACCCTGCAGTCTCCCAGCCCTTCCGGCTAACTCCCAGTTACATCCTGGGCATGACGTGCTGTGGTATGGAATAGCTCTTTGGTCAGTTTGGGTCAGGTGTCCTGTCTCTGCTTCCTCCCAGCTTCCCCTCCTCCCTGGCAGAGCATGAGGCTCACAAAGTCCTTGGCCAAACCAAAACATCTCTATCAGCTCTGTTCCCGAGCCGAAAGTCAAAACACTGCACTGCACCAGCTACCAAGGAGGAGAAACATGACTGCTACTGCTGAACCCAGGACATTATCCACCCCTTATTCCATACCATTCACGTCATGCTCAGTTCCCACATTTTCAAAATACCATCACTCTTATCTTAGTGCATGGACCAGTCCCTATAATGCTGCCGAGTCCATCTGGTCCATGATGGCAGGCTCCATCTCTTGTAACAGTCTTCCAGAGCAGGAGAGACTGTGTGCAGTGTTCACACTCGTGAATAACTAGGGCAATAGTGTCCATTGTTAAGTCCACCCCTCGATCATGAGTCCATCTCTGTGTTGCATCTCTGCTCTGATGGCCTGAAGTGCCATGGGCCCACCAGCCTTAAAATAATTCACTGTCTCCTTAAGCAGTTTCTGCAGCTTGTTGCTGGGGACTCCATACAGCTGCCTTCCATCTCCGACGCTTCCAAAGCACTGGAGGGGCCCAGTGGACTAGATACTTGCCCATACTGTCCCACACACCCTGCCACTCATGACTGTCCAGCCTTGGGGAAAATCTCTTGGTCCCCCTATATTGTTGTCTAACCCCAGACAAGACCCAAACCTGACTCTGCTTAACTTTTGAGATCAGACAAAATGGTTGTGGGTAGAACACAGCCTGTGTGTGTGCCAACATGCCGATCCCCATCACAATCAGCAGGCAGGTCCCAAGGATACCCAAAGGCCATTCAGAGCCTTCAGAACTCTCAAACGACGCTGCTGTGCTTGTCACTGGGGCTGGTGTAGCTGCTGTGCTTGCCGGCTCTCCCACCACCAGCTTCTCTTTTCCTGAGTCCAGCTCTTCCTCCTCTGCCTTGCTGGGAAGTGCTGCGTGGTCTCCTGCATCCTCCTGGGGCTCGGCGGGTGGCTGCCGGGAAACGCTCTCGGCCGTCGCGGGGCTGGGCTCCTCCGCGGGGCTCGGCTCCTCCGCGGGGCTCGGCTCTTCCGCGGGGCTCGGCTCCTCCGCCGCCTTCTCCCGCTGCTCGGCAGCCGCTTCCTTCTGCTCCTCGACCGCCCCGGCCTCCTCCACCGGCAGCCGTCCCCTCGCGGCCTCCGGCCCCGCTCCCGCCGCCGCTTGGTCCCCGGGACCGCTCTCCCGGGCCGGTTCGGCTGCCGCCGGCTCCCGGGGCCGCTCCCCCTCGGCTCCCCGCAGCCTCACGAAGATGGAGAGTAGGGTGAGGGCCAGGACGGTGAAGAGCAGCCGGACGGCCAGGTACAAGTCCACGGCCACGTCCGTCCCGCCCTGCTGCTGGAGCCCGCCCGTGTTACAAGCCATTGCCATAAAGCACAGTGAGACGAGAACCTTAGCCCAGGCCCCATACTTGATAAACACTAACACAGCAAATACCGGCTCTACGTAAGTTACAACGGTCTGAAGCTGTGAGGTCAAGAAGAACAACTCTGATAGCCAATAAATCAGCATTGTGACGAATGACTATTAATCCAGTCAAATCTGTCGTTATCTCAACCCTTCGTGCCCCACATTGGGCGCCAAAAAGAACTGTCGTGGTTTAAACCCAGTCAGGTAATTCGTTCGCTCACTTCCCCCCCCCCCTTTCTTGCCCTCCCCCTGCTCTCGGAGGGACGGAGAGGAGAATCAAAAGAATGCAACTCCCACGGGTTGAGATAAGAACAGTTTAGTAACTAAGGTATAACACAGATCACTACTGCTACCACCAATGATAATAATGATAAAGGAAATAACAAGGGAACAGAATACAACACCTCACCACCCGCTGACCGATAACTCGCCCCCCAAGCCCGACCAAGCTCCGACCGATACCTCCTCCAACCCTGCAGTCTCCCAGCCCTTCCGGCTAACTCCCAGTTACATCCTGGGCATGACGTGCTGTGGTATGGAATACCTCTTTGGTCAGTTTTGGTCAGGTGTCCTGTCTCTGCTTCCTCCCAGCTTCCCCTCCTCCCTGGCAGAGCATGAGGCTCACAAAGTCCTTGGCCAAACCAAAACATGTCTATCAGCTCTGTTCCCGAGCCGAAAGTCAAAACACTGCACTGCACCAGCTACCAAGGAGGAGAAACATGACTGCTACTGCTGAACCCAGGACAGCCTTGACTAGCTAGCCCATGTTTCACATTCTGTGTTCTAAATACAAACACAATAAATGAGTCCCTGGGTTGGTTTGTTTTCACATTGTGAAACAAGAAAACACAGACATATGTTACTTTTTATACTATATAGGCCTTTGGTTTTCTAACTGTAGTGTCTGGGTGCTAGTGTTGTAAATAGGGCCTCCTGTAAAGCCGTATCAGAATTCCTGCTTGCCAGCGAACTGGTAGTGCTTGATCTCAGCAATACTAAATACTGATTTTGATTTATTTTTTTTTTTCCCTTCAAAGCAAGGACAGCTATTTTCAGTTACATAACAGACTTCTAATTAAGCATACAATGCCTGTAAATGGGACATTCTTCTGTGCTTTGATCTGCCAGCACAGTTTGGGCTGGGAGTTCTTTCAGCTTAAAATTTGCTGGCAACGGTATAGTTAAGTGTGACACCATCATCTGAATGTTTCCCCAAATGCTGACATTCATCTTATCTTCAAGGAGTGCTGAAAAGGGAGTGATGGTAATTTATTTTGTGGCCTGAAATGTGTTAAACATAGAGCTACAAAAATACTTGATCGTAGTTACCTAGAAGTCTGGGGCAGAATTCTGAATTGTGTGGAGCCTGAAACTCTTGAACTTTCACTTTCTGATACTCTGTCAGTATGATAGCCTTCAGTATTTTGTTTCTGTGGCACTCACACTTCAGTACAGATTGTTTCCATGGACTTAGGCAAGCAAGAAGTGCCAGTGACTGTATGTGAGGGACGTGTTGTATTCGCTTCGTAGGGCTTCGGCAATATTTGTGTGCTGTTTAATTGCTGAGACTGTTGAAACTGTTGTATAGGACTGTGGTTGTTCTGAC